TCCTTTACCATTCTCCAACGATCACCTCAAACCCCTCGAATTGGTTCAATCATCTGAAATTGGAGTTGCGCACCTTTAACAATGTCAATGGACCCCCCTCCGCCACCAGCTCCGGTTGGCGCAACCGATACCCCAGTCGTCGCGCCGAAGACTACACGCAGCGAAAGCTTCTCGTCACAGAAATCCACCGACTCCCAAACTGCTGCTGAGTGCGCTGTCCCTTAATATCCGCCAGCGTTGAGCTTGGACTGACCACTGTTATTCGCACAGATTCATTAGGGACCAGATGCAATTGGAAGCCGACGCGCGCGAGGCTCTTCCCTATGTTCGTCTTCTCGCATCTCCCTCCTATCTACAGAATTAGCTATCCTAACTTCTCACAGAGCATCGAAAGCTGCACCAATATTCTCGGATCCCTTCGCCAGAGTGTCTTCGCCTGCCTGACCTGCAATCCTCCCCCCGCCGAACCGAAGGACCCTTATGACGGTGCAGGAGTCTGCTATGCTTGCTCTATCCAGTGCCATGGCGAACACACTCTTGTCGAGATATTCACCAAGAGAAACTTCACATGCGACTGCGGTACTAAGAGATATCCGTCTACTAGTCCCTGCAGTCTGCGCATCAACCCTACCACTAATACAAAGGGCGATGTGCACTCAGAGGAGCCGGACGCAAACAACAAGTACAACCAGAACTTTAGAAACAGATTCTGTGCGTGCGAGTGTGATTACGATCCTTTCCAGCAGAAAGGCACCATGTTCCAATGCCTAGGACTGGGTACGTCCGAGACAGGCGGCTGCGGCGAAGACTGGTACCACCCTGGCTGCTTGGTTGGAATGGGGCCCAACTGGTTTGATAGTATGAAGAAGGAGAAGCCCGCAACTGTTAAGGAAGCTACAGAGGCCACAGCTATGCCCACAATCTCGGAAGATTCAGAAGCGCGCCCTGAGGACGAAGCGACAGCCGCCAAGAAACAGGATGATGATGAGGATGTGGAGGATGAGGACGAAGACCCACCGATGCCACCCGGCTTTCCAGGCGAGGATGACTTTGAAGCATTCCTATGTTACAAGTGCGTTAATGCCAACCCGTGGATCAGAAAGTATGCGGGCGCCAAGGGATTCCTACCAGCAGTCTTCTCGACGCAAAAGAACGCAGAGGTACTAGGCACGGAGGAGGCGGCTAAGAAACGAAAGGCAGAAGACGACGCCGACGTATCAGAGGCTAAGCGACTGAAAGGTACATCTGAGCCAGCCGAGGGTCAACCCGACAGCAGTGCTCCGGCTGTCAAGCAGGAGACTCAGGAGGCTTCGTCCGCTACATGTCGGTGGGCTTTACTTCCATCTCCACCGGCCGGAGAGTTCTCGCTCTTTATGACAGAAGACTTCCGCAACAACATATGTCGATGTTCGTCATGCTACCCCAATCTAGACCCGCACCCACAGCTTCTGGAAGAGGAAGAAACGTACGAGCCGCCAATGTCTGATGGCGGGAACTCGGAGCACGGAGGCTCCACAAATGGCAGCGGCAGCCTCTTGGAGCGCGGAGAGAGTGCCCTACGCAATGTAGACCGTGTTCGTGCCATCGAAGGTGTCATGGCGTACAACCATCTGAAGGACCAGTTGAAGCCGTTCTTCCAGCAGTTTGCAGAGAGCGGCAAAGCAATCGGCGCAGAGGACATCAAGTCTTACTTTGCCAAGCTCAGAGGCGACGACCAGGCCATCAAGGACGCGGGAGGGGCAGCCAATGGGTCAGAGGACGATAAGGACGATTCGCGTCGGGAGCAAAGTGGCTACTGATCCACTTGAGTATTATGGTCTCTCTTTTACTTAAGGTTCTGCTTGTATGATAGCGTGTATGCCGGTTTCGATTGGATGTCGACCAGCAAGTGGTCTGCCACAAGGATATGGCTCATGAGGATATATGGCCTTCTTCGAACGATGTTGCCTGGTTTGAGCCCACAAGCTCCGAATAGTAACTACATTTCTCCGGGAGACCGCGTGCCGTGTGAGGCTCATTCCGCGCCTCCTTGAGGAGTTGGTGACATTTGAACCTCATCTGGTGAGTTCAATGCTTCTGCATTCCCGGCCAAGGACAAGAATGAGTGGTAGTGAGTGAGGTTCCTTAGACATAAGTCGTGCCCAACGCAGTGCCAGCCCTCCAGGTTGCGAGGTTACGAGACGCCAGCAACCACTCATGTTCTGTGGCGTCACGATCGTATGCAGACAAGCTTCAGGCCAGACTGAATGTCAAAATCACACAGCTGCACGTAAGAAAGCATGTTCCCGTCACGGGACAACGAGCATGAGGGCTTATTCGAGACAAGCCCCCGTACAACACATCATGACTAGCCATGGCAAGATGTAGATCAGCCATGATGGCATGTAAGGCTGGCCTAAGTTTAACATCGGGGAGCACAATGCTGACGTGATTACTCTTCGTCGATATTTCTTTTGAAAAAGCTGAAGAATTTAAGATGGAGCGGTCCCGTTGATAAAGCCGAAACTTATAAATCAATTTCAAAACTCCTGTGCTTGCTCCTCGAGAAGCGACAACTCACGAGATACTACTGCGCATGTTTTGACATTCTGGACCACAAACCATTCCTGGCTCACTTCTCAGCCCCAACTGGTGGAGTCCCGTACATCACTGCCATGCTACATGCGTGGCGCCAGAATCATTGCCGGCCAGGCTGGCGTGAGGACCTTGGTCGGCACATCTCGATATGGAGCTAACCTAGCGACTCAGGGCTCTCAGGACTGCGAAGAGAATTGTCTTTTGGCGCTCTTGATGGTCTTATGCTCGAGAAATTTCGTCGTTGACGAACGAGTGCTTCCTCCTTAATGGTTGAATGTGTGATACTTAGTAGAGAAGAAGAACATAGCTGGCAGAGATGAGCGCAATGTCTGCAGGCCGCGAGACAGCCCCGGCTGGGAGCAACTGCAACTCGCGTGGCCGTAGAGACCCGGAACGCCCTTTCCAAACCTTGTGAAGGCTCGACCGTCCGGGACCTCTGTCCTTTCTTATCTTTACATGAGCCGTTCAAAGTCATGTGCCGTGGTATTGTCGTCCCGCCCCTGCTCACTTCCATCGGGATGCCCGCCCGCCCTTCAAAGCTGCTACGTTCCCTTTATATAGATCGAGTTCCGTCCTCGGCTTCCATCACGGCTTCCATCATCCTGTCACCTCTTTCCCCCACATTCGCTCCCTAATCTTGCCATCTTCACCCTCATTCTTTATATTTTCCTCCCTTGCAATTGTTCCATGATGGCTCCTAAAAAAGAGGCAACGATGTTGGAGATGAAGGCTACGAGGTCGCCAAGCGACCAAGGCATGTCCGATCCCATCGACGCCGCAGAAGGCGCTAAGCTCGAGCGAAATATCTCCATACGGCATATGGTATTCATGGCTTTGGGTGGTTCCATTGGTGCCGGTCTCTTCGTCGGTTCTGGCGCTGCTCTCGGCTCTGGCGGACCTCTGTCTCTCGTCCTCAACTTCGCTCTCGTCGGCTTCGGCGTAACATGTACCATGGGCTGCCTGGGTGAACTGGCCGGTGAGTGTTCTTCCGCATCCCTGTCCCGAGCTCCCTCCTCGTATCGATATGTCAGACCGCAATAGCAGTGCACAGCTAAAATATTATCGCAGCCGCGTATCCTGTAGCAGGCGCCTTTTACGAGTACTCGAGACGCATGATATCAGAACCCTGGGGATTTGCAATGGGCTGGAACTTCGTGTTTAACTGGCTCATTGTCTTTCCTTTCGAGCTCACGGTGATCGCAGCTCAGATCAAGTACTGGGCCCCGGACTTACAGCCGGCCTTTGTGATAACGCCAATACTGGTCGTTCTGACCGCGACCTCGTTTCTCGGCTCCAAGTGGTTCGGCGAAATTGAACATGCCCTCGGCATCGGCAAGGCCCTCGCTATCACCGTCTTCATCTTTGTTGCGATCTTCATTATCACTGGCGCCGTTCCATCAGATCCAAGGTACTTATCTTCTGCTTAAATCGCACTTTGTCATAAGGCAATCTAACCGTTCGTTAGACACGGAACAGGAGCCAAGTTCTGGCATGACCCCGGTGCGGTGAAGAATGGCATATCGGGCTTTTTCCTCGTATTCCGAACCGCCGGCATGTCCTACGGTGGCACGGAGCTCCTGGGCCTGACGGCGGCTGAGTGCAAGAATCCCCAGAAAGCCCTACCTTTGGCGACCAAGATCGTATTTGGCCGCATCTTCTTCTTCTATATCATATCGCTCCTCTTGCTCGGTTTCGTCGTCCCGTCCGATGACCCTGGCTTGGCCTCGACCGGCCACGGTGCCAAGTATAGCCCTTTCACACTCGCAGCACAACTCGCCAACATCCAGCATCTCCCGAGCTTCTTCAACGCCCTTATCGTTTTGGCAATCATTTCAATGGCCAACACCAGCATCTTCGCTGCCAGCCGAGCCTTCCAAGCTATCTGCGAAAGGGGCATGGGGCCTCGGTGGGGAGCCACCGTGAAATGGGGTGTGCCTGTATACGCCTTCGCCATCACGTCCGTTTTTGGCCTCCTTGCCTTTATCAACCTGGCGCCCGGCGGTGGCGCCATCTTTGACTGGCTATTGAGCCTTTCGGGAGCTAGCAACTACTACACGTGGGCGTCCATCTGCGTCAGTCATATTCGTTTCCGCAAGGCATGGGCTGCGCAAGGAAATGATACCAGTCAGCTTCTCTGGAGGAGCCCCTTTGGCGTCTGGGGAGGCTGGGTTGGACTCGTCATTTGCTTTATAGGGCTTTCTGCAAATGTCCTGACGGCAATTTGGCCCATCGGTGGTCACGATGCGCAGGCCGTCATCCGCGACAACATTGGAACGGTTATCCCGATTGTGTTGTATATCGGCTATCGGGTTTGGCAATCAATAGTCATGAAGGTGAAGCAGCCTATGCTCGTCCCATTGGATGACATGGATGTGCAGACGGGTATCCGTCTGCTTGAGGATGTTCCCATCTCGGACGACGGGGGAGTCACTTTAGTCCGTGGTGAAAAGTGATTTATGCCGTTGATGCACAGCGGGACCGCTGAGTTGAATGACCGCGGCGGTCATGGTTTTGCGCGGCGAGAACCAGTCGGAGTTGGGTGCCTTATGCTTTCCTCAGTAATTGAATAGCAACAGTAACAGTAGTAACAGTACACAAGGGACAGTCTTGGTAGGAGTTTTGTTTCGTTTCAACAAACCATTCATTAATGTATTCGTGAAAAGAGACCAAGGCTAAGGTGCTTGGCCAGTATCACAAGAGGTATAATGCGATCGCCCATTTGCTTTGCAAGCGATTCTCCTTTCCAGCAGCCCCCAACGCCAGCAACCTTTTTTACCCAGAATGCTCCTTACGCCACCACAATCCCGATGGCATGCTTCATAAAACAGGTACTAAATGCATTGCGTACTGCCTCACTGGCCAGAGGAGCCAGTGCTCGAATTCGCACTCGAGGGTCTTGGTGGCGGAACGGGCATACCCATGGGGATTCCTAGATCTCTCTGCATCGGGACGCCACCCATCATGCTGGATTCCGGCGATTGCGGACGCGAGTACTCGTCCCCCATTTGCTGGCTCCCAGAAAGCTGTTCTTGAGCGGCTCTCTTCTCCAGCTCTTTTAACCGCTCCTTCTCCGCCGGGTCGATGAGATCATCGTCATCGCTCCAGCAAGGGTCCTCGTCGCTGACCTCGGGCATGGCCATGCGCTTCCAGAACCGAAGCTCCTGGCGCGCGGCCACGTCCTCCACGCGCCGATCCCACCGCGTCTCGTCCTCGTCGTACTTGCGGCGGAAGTTGCGGAGCACCTCGTTCGCCTTACCCGCGCGTTCCTGCATCTCCCAGATCTGTTCTCGGAGTCTGCTATTCTCGGCACGTGCTTCGGCGAGCTGGGATCGGTACGAGCGGTGCCATGCGGCGACGTCAGTGACGTGTTTTGCCTTGTATTCGTGAAATTGCTTCAGCATTGCGGCGAAGACTGTCGCGTACTGGCTGAGGAGTGTCGCGTTGGCGTCGCGGCTGTATTTCGCTTTTTCAAGGGACTCGGAGAGAATGGAGATGAGGGTGTCGAGATTCTGTTCTTGAGCTAAAAGAGAGTGTGTCAGTGACCAAGGCAAAAAAGCAATTGGGACATGTGCGCGTGGGCGGGTGTGCGAGCAGCAATGGCGTACCAAGAATGTCGTCTGCAGCGTTGTGAATGAGGTCGTCATTGCCCATTCCCTGCGTCCTCGCGCGACTGCGCACCCTTCCAAGACCAGAGACAATATCCTCGGTGACGCGACGGTTCTCCGTAAGCTGCCTACTCAGCTCCTCAACCATGCCATAGATGTAGTTGAGCTCGGCCTGCTGACCGGCAGGGGTGGGCACGCCGCCCATCCCGTTGGGCACATTGCCGCCGTTCATTCCGTTCATGAGGACGAACTGCTGGTACTGCGCGTGGGCGAGGGCTTGCTGGGCGGCCGAGAGGGATTGCGCGTTGGCGGACGGCGCAGGCGAAGGAAGTTGCGGCGGCGGGACGGAATGCTGTAGCTGTAGCTGTTGTTGTTGCTGCTGCTGGAGCTGCTGCTGCCGCTGCTGTTGAGTCTGATGCTGTTGTTGCTGTTGCTGCAGCTGGAGCTGGCGGGAAGAGAATTGGACCTGTTGCTGTTGGGACTGCTGTTGCGACTGGTTGTTGGAGCTGAGGATGGGGTTGAAGGCGAAGTCGTTGGAGGTTGAGGCAGGAAAGTTCATGGCCCTTGGTGTTTCTGCCCGCTTTCGAGGGGGAGGGGTGTGGGTTGGGTTGCACAACTGGCGGGCAGCTGTCGTGAGTGAGATGGTTGCTCTGCTCTCGTGCTCGCTTCGCTTCTCTGTTTTACCCGGAGGTGAACCGGGGGGACGGGGTGACAGCGCCAGCACCGCTGCTGCCACAAAAGAAGAAAAAGGCGACCTTGATTGACAAGACGCTTCTGAGGGGTGGAGCTTATCTGGCACGCGTGTGTCTAGGTGCGGGTGCGACGGGTCTCCTTCGTGGGATGTATCTGCTCTCCGTACCGTTTTGGGTTTGGAGTGGTAGGAGAGGGTGGAAGGGGCAGAAGGGGGTGTGAATGCTGCGAGACGCCCATGGTGGATGAGATATTGACTTAAGCGGATCAAGTTTGCAAGTGAACTGAGGATTGAGCTGCTAACGTAAGCGATACTATCTTGGGCGAGTTATGCACAAAACGGCTATCAGCCAACTAACGACCAACGACGGCCCCTCGATCCTTCCTCCTATCCAGTTCTTCTTTCCTTCCTTCCCTGGATAGAACCTTAAGAAACACGATGCCCAAGTGGGATTAAAAGCAAGAACAATCCGAATGAGACCAATAAAGACCACTTTTCCTCTGCAACCATTCGGTACCCAGACTAATCCTCGTCAATGTCCATGTGGCTGTTGAGGATAGAGGCCTTGGGCGTGAGCTCATCACCCTCGTCATCCTCATTGACCGCATCGTCAGCCTTGTCGCCGTTTGCAAGAGCGTAATTGGCCATGATCTCTTTCATGTTCGCCGTGTCCTTTCCAGCGAGTGTAAGAGTCTTCTCCAAGTGATCGCGGCTTCGCTTACGATGGGCCTTGGTCGGGGTGGCCGGGGCACCAGCGTTAATGGGCTCGTAGTAGGCAGGCTCGAGGCCAAGGGGTCGAGGGCCAGCAGGCTGAATCGAGGGACGCTCAAGCGAGGCAGGCCCCGAGGCCGACGCGATACGGACGCGGTTCTTCTGACGACGAGTGGAGGGCGAGTTATCCTCGACGTCGGTGTCGGCGAACATGACAGGAAGAGCTGTCTTGACGCTGCGAGGGCGACTAGAAGGCGGGTGGCCGTGGCCCTCCTCGTCGTAGCGGATGCCAGGAGGGGGAGTCGAGGGGCCGCGCTCGACCTCGTGCTTGTCGATGGCCATAGCAGAGTCGGCCTCGGAGCTAGCATCACTCTGCATCTTCTTGCCGAGACCAAGGTAGTGCTTGGGGCTGGGATTGAAATCAAGGACCTTGACAATACCGGGGCCGGACTTCTTCGCAGCAGTGCCCTTTCCATCATGGGCTCCGTCAGAGATACGGAGAGCCTTGACCGTACGCGGAGTCTCCACAGCATGATGGGCCGGCTTGGTCGGGGTCACAGCCGGGTCATGAGAGCTGTCCGAGAGCTCCATGTCGCAAGCGCCATCCAAACCTTGGACTGACTTCATGATGGGCTTGTCATCGGTGCTCTGGACAATCTTCTTGCTGGCAAGATAACGGTCGTGCTCGCGAGCCAAGCGGGCAGGCAGAGGTTCCTGGTACTCGCGGATGGGTTGGACTTCGGCGTCGTCCTCATGATAGTCAGACAGGTCCTCTTCGGTATCCTCAGGCGACTCGATGAGGTCGCCTTCGTCATCGGCGCTCTCTGGGTGGCCAAAGAGGTCCTCTTCAGTGTCATTGGGCAACTCATCAAGCTCGTCCGACGGAGATCCAAAGCCAAAGAGGTCCTCCTCTTCTTCATCACTGGGCAACTCGCCGAGCTCAGATTCAGAATCAGAGCCATCGAATGGATCCTGGGCCATAGGATCAGTCGCATGGGAATGAGTGCGGCGGACATCGCCAGGGCCCTCGTTCTCATCAGTGCCACGAGACGCCATTTTGCCCTGTAGTCTTTGGGAAACCCGTAATCAAATTTGACTTTGAGGATGGGCTCTAGCTAAATAACTGTTAGCTGAAGGTGAATGGGTAAGTCGAACTGAAACCTACCGGCTAGAGTTTCGGCTTGATCGATCTTCAGAGTCGGGAAGCTCGGTAAGTCGATGATGGACACAGACGAGGGAGTGCTAGAGAAGATCCTTCGATGAAAGCGAAGTAACTTGATGGGGCTTCGGTCGAGAGAGAAAAAAAAATCCTCAATCCTCAAGCAAAGCGTTGCTGAGAATCGCGTTCGACACCAGGGTAGAGAGGCAAGGAAGGGGGAAAAGAAAGATAACAGTTGATAGGTAATGATGCCTAGCTAGACGCGAGAGAAGTCGTTCGCTAGAGGTAAATCAAGGTCTGATGAGCTCGCGCACTGGCACAAATAGTCGAAAAGACTCGTGCAATCGCCAGTAGAAGTTCTGCTGCTCGGGAATGTATCGTCAGAATGGCAAAGACTTGTTGATGGAGATAGATGTATCTCAAACTTACTCGAAGGATGGATTTCCTTGGACGACAGAGGTTGTTGATGTTTTGACACAGCTTCTTTGAGGTGAGGAAGAAGGGAAAGAGAAGGTTGGGTATGCTCGAGAAAGAACTATTGTTGTTTACCTTTGTGGAAGCTGGTGCCCTCATCGTGGGGCCTAGTTAGATATGCCCCGGGAGAACTTCATTCTGTTTATCGTCATGGAGACGGGTGCTCCCTTCGTAGGGTACATTCGAAGGGGGTTGGACTCGCTGCGGGAGCATCTATTATTGTTCATTTTGATAGAGGCGGGTGCCTTCATCTTTGGGCCTAGTTGGGTATTCTCCGGGAAGAGTTGTTGCAATCTGTCTTTATGGAGGCGGGTGCTCTCGCCATGAAGCTCAGCCTGAGAGACTTAAGCATGACCATGGGGAACTTCGTTCGAATTATTCGATTTCTTCGGGCCAAACGCCACAGTAGTATTACAGATACCAAGACCATCTTGCATAGGATGGCTGAGGTGGGCTGTAGACCACTATGCCCATGCTGTGTGCTCCCGAATTACGGCAGGCAACTCGTCGAAGACCATTCTTACCGGCTAGATACTAGCTTTGTGTTCAAGTACTCCGGTGATATTGTCCTCCAAGGCAGCAGGAAAATTTGGATCGATATATGCCTCCTGAATTTCTGTGGCAACTAAGCTTCACGAAAAGACGACCAGCTTCCACAATCATAGACGACTTTAAGCATTCGGCCTAAGGAAACTTGACTTGCGCACATTTCGATGGATCATTAGAATATCTGAGGACTTCTTGAAGGCACATAGAATCACTACCAGTCTTGCTAGGAGCTGACTTCGTGAGACGGAGAGTCGGTTCTTGATAGAAACTTCCTTGATGTTACATTCATTGATATATATGCTTAGACATCTCTGACAACTATGTGTTGAATCCTATAAAGAATACTCTGATTTATATGGAAGTTAGCTTGAAATATCATACATAGTACTGAAGGTTCTCTTGCTTCGGCCCATCAAAGCCGCCAGAACTGACAAGCCGTTGGGTTTTTACTCGGCTCACCATTCCTTCGACCAGTCACATCAGGCATTTGATGATCCTTAGTTTCTCATACTACATTATAGAAATACTTATCCCAAGGCAAATGTGGATGTTCCGGTAAAAGTAGTCAGGGAAAGAAGAGGGAGCCAACTGTCGACGGTAAAGAGTGATGACGTTACCTAATATTGAGACTAAAGAGAAGTAGTTGGAATCGCGACGAACAGCCATGTCTATTCTACCTTGGGTTACTTCTTCGTCCTAACCCATGGGAGTTACATTCGCTTGGCATATCAGATCCTCCCGACAATATGGCCGAGGCCATGCTCATCTCGGCCGATTGCAGTTTTGAGTGCTGTCAACTCCAAGCCTTGGAACAGGAGAGAAGCAAGGTCGAAGCGAGCCGTTGAGGCAACGCCAGACACTACAGGCGGAGAAGGACGGGGAAGAAGTCAAGAAAGAAGAGACATCAAATGGTGAGCTGGCGGAGACTCCGCCGCCGGACCATGTTTACCGGGGGGCTACCGATTATTTAGCGGGTGCGGGGTGATGCGGGGCCTCCAGCTTCCCCGCCATCCGGTCAAGCCACCCATTCGGGCCGTTGGGCACCCCATCCCGCCGGGCTTGTCCTACCTATAGGTATCCCATGCTAAAAAGCCTAGGGAAGGTAATTAGGTATCCGTACTGTAGAAACAAACGAAACATGAACAGAAAAGATTGGACCAGTTCTCTCGCTTTCATAGGCTCGTTTCAACCCTACCTCAGACACCACCAATGACAGCTCATCCATGCAGACAGCTACCCTTGCACCGGGCAAGCAGCAAAGCTGTAGTACACTAGCGCCGCTCTAGCATGATGCGTTTTCTCCATCTCGCTCTTGTCCCCCCCGCTGCAGTCGGCGCAGATGCACATCATCATCCCCCCCCAAAGTCCCGTAGCTCCCAACTGCAAAGCCGGTAGGCTGCGGGGAAGTCGATCCCAAGAACGAGGAATGAACAGCGTGACCTACCCATACCGCATATTTCCTGCATTGTTCTTTTTTATTCTGCTGTTCATCCAGGTAGACACGGCCTTACCTCGCTCCATTACTCGCTCGCGCCATTCAATCAAATAGACTTCTAGCCGCAAATGAGCGGTCCCGAACCTTGGCGAGCTACGCGCCAGGAGAATACGACATGGACCAGGCACCCCCAGGGACCTCCGGACACTGCAGATGAAAGACTGGATGACGTTCATGCTCTGGCCCTGCACCTATCACGGGCCATCCGCAAAAGTCGCCTAAAAAAACATTTTGCGTGAAAGCCCAATTAGGTAACGGGGACGCAGGAGCTTTCGGGATGAACGGTTGGAGAGCAGGAGACGTCCGTTGCCGCCTTCTAGCGGGGTCGCATATCCCAACTTACACTCTCAGCCAATGTAACGATGCATAACCAGGTCCTTTGATCTGCAAAGCGACACCAAGTATAAAGTCCGCCACCGGGCCATGTCGTGGGCTGTTGTCCAAGCTTCTCTTGCTCTGTTTGCCCGTACTCTGCCAAGCTTGTCAACATGGCGAGAAAGCTTTCTGTCCTCGGACTACTCAGCGCAGTAGCTTCAGCTGCTGTGATCCGCAGAGATTATCCTAGCGACGACGCGCTTTCAAAATGCCCGGGCTACAAGGCTTCCAATGTCCAGCTGTCCTCGACTGGATTGACAGCAGACTTGTCACTGGCCGGTGAAGCATGCAATGCATACGGAACCGATCTGACAGACTTGACTCTGACTGTCGAATATCAAACTGGTGAGTTCCTCGATTTTTTCAAAGCCATCCTGTGTCATTCGTGTGCCTTGTGAACCAATACTCAGACATACTGCAG